TATCCGACCAATCCGAAAATAAAAGCTCGAGGACCGGCCGCCAGCAGACATCAGAAGCCCAAACAGAGGCGTCCTGCATCGATAGAGCTCGGACGTCTGAGGCCCTGCGGGCGGCGAACGAAATTTGGGCCGCCACGCATGCAGGCGAATAAAAATATAGGTCCCACTCCGCCCCCCGATCGTCCACCGCCGTCCCAGCATCCTTGAGGCTCCAGCCTACCCGCTGGGCCGGTAAAATCATGGCCGCAACTGGATCCTTGCAGGAGACCCATGGCCTGGCTGAGCTAGCGTTGGCCTGGCCGGCCGTGACGAGAGACTCGAGCACTGTTCTGGACAAATGCCCGTCACCGAGGACCTCGCAGTACTGGCGCATCGAATCGGCCGTGGCGAGCACCAGCGGGTCGCGCCTCCACCCTTGCCGCCCGCAGCCAAGGTAGAGCCCGACCGACGCGCCCTTAGGGAGACGCCCTTCCGCGTGAGCCGCCAGAACTCTGAGGCCGTGCAGCCGCGTGTCGCCCAAACCGTGGACACACGTCCCCCACATGGCGACAGCTGTGGGGCCTGCGCGGTGCACCCTAAAAATGTTTGCGCCAGCGCCTTGCAACGTGCGCAGCTTCAACGCCCGCCGCTGGGCCGCGAGATATCTATCGAGATGCGTGCCGACCCTCCGAACCCCGCCGTCCGTAGCGTCCCCGCCGAGATCTCTATGAGAGCGCTCTCGGTCAGCCAACTGCAGGGGCAGCACTGCCGCAATCTCTGCAGCCAGTGCCGACGAGTTGGCCAGGAAACCGGCTTTCTCCCATGAGATAGGGAGTCCCCGCTCCTGGACCGCATCTGCCACCGAGTTGAAGGCGAGGCCCAGCTGGTGTGGGACTGTTCTCTGGCCTCCCAGCGCATGGAACGAAACGTCATCGATAACATTTTTAATCGTGACAATCGGTGCAAGTGCATCGGCTCGCTTCAAAATCACTAGGAGTAAAACTTTGGCCAAGGAGGTGGCGCACGAGCACCCGGCTACTACAGTGCCGTTTGCCTCGAGAGGCCTACCCGTGACTCCCTGAAAAACAGCCCTCCGTTCTGACCTGTAGAGGCAACAAAGACCCCGTAGCAGACTCTCGGGGAAGCCGACGTGGACCGCTGCCGCTCGAAGCTCAGCGTGAGAAATGTTCTCATAAAATTTCTTCAGATCTAAAAATGCAGAGCCCGAGGCGAGATTCCGCAAGCGTGCAAACGCCGCCAACGCGTTGTGAAGCCATGCGCTCTTGTCGCATGAGGTCGAGCGGCTCTGCCCCCAGAACAGGTCCGAAGCGTGGGCCTGCTCCCAGGCGCTGCACTCGCGCTGCCGGATCTTGGACCACACTCGGGCCCATAACGGCAGGAGCCCGATCGGTCGTACCCCTCCTGTTGGCTTGTCAAGAAAAACAATTAAAATGAGCAGCAGACTTGACGCAGCTGGATCCCGTTTCCAGGCGTTCAAGACATCTGCAAACCTCTGCGCGAAGCCAACGGGTAGCTGAGCAAGCAATCGGGGGTGGAAGCCATCCCACCCAAGCGCCGTGCCCTTGGAAAAACATTTGCACGCCTCCCCCACCTGCTCGGCCGAGATGGGCTCAAGGAACTGCAAGACAGGCCAACTCCTCGGGTGCGCTTCCTGCGAACGGCTCTCCCGTGACCAGATAGGGACCCAATCTTCCAACAAACGGTCCAGAGCAGCATGGCCCGCGAGCGGAAAACCCCCGTCCTCATCGGAGGCCAGGACCGGCTCAGGGACAGGACGCGGGCCTTTACTGAACCTATGCGCGGCTCGGCCTCCCTTCAGGACCGAACTTTGGGCGAAGTCCTGCCACGATTTACGAAACTGGCGAGCATCCGCTGCCAGCCTACAGGAGACCTCGCTCGACAGATCTGCAAAGAGTTGAGTGCGCCTGTCGGGGTCTCGGAGGCCTTTCAGGAGATCCTCCCCTGAAAGGTGCCCAAGAGACCCGGCCTCCGCCGAGGCAAGACATGGGCTGACCTGCTGAAGAATCCCCCGGAGCCTCCCCCAAGTCACCCCCGAAGTCCCCCCTTCGATTTTGGTCAGGCCCAGCATCTGGCCGATCACGCGCCGAAGCTGCAAAAATTGGACAGTTGAAAAAGATGACCTACGCCTGAGCTCTCTACCCCATGCCGCTGCCAAAGGCACCTGTCGAAACTGACACCCTCTCGCTCTACCAGTGTACTTCGCCCGAGCGCTGGCGTCGACAGAGTGTCTGGCAACTAAAAACGTTTCGGCTGCATCGAACCACTCCTTCATTGCCTCCGTCGGCACTCGAGGCAGGGATCCCTCTTCCCAGGACCACTCCAGCCGCGGCGCCTCAAACAAGACGCCCTCTGGGACGCCCCTCGGCGGCGCCCTGGGCTGAGAAGAAGAGGAAGGAGAAGGAGAGGAGGGGGGAGAAAGAGGAGGGGGCTCCAAAGGGAAACAACAAGGCACAACGCGTTGCCATGCCTTGGCTTTACCATTGAGGCCCGTGAGCTCCAGCGAGACCGCAGCATGAGGGCCGCGAGGAGTATTTAAAAGGGTGCGCACGCACGAAACATACGGCAAGAGGCACTGCGAGGCTGCGACAAAAATCAATGACCCGTCCGCCGCATGTGGGGTCCTCTGGAACGAGAAGCTGTACGTGCAAGCGGCCCGGCCAATCAGAAGCTGCCAGCTCGTCGGCTGGCACGTTCCAGTCACCCCCGAGGATCACGGGCCACTCCGACGCCGCCACAGTCTCGCCCAGCACCCCCAGCAGCTCAAGGTTCTGGGGGCCGAGGCCTTCGTTGGTAACGAGGTACACTGAGACGAACAGCACCTGCATCGCATCAGTGATCGAAACCAGCGAGGCTGCAAAACGATGCCGATGGGCAGCAGAAAAAAGATAACCCATGGGCTTTGCACCGAATCGCGACTGAGCGAGGACCGCCACGCCCCCAGAATGTTCCAGGGCGCCGCCCCCTGTGGGAAAAGCCGCGCCTGCATGCATGTTGAACCCCGCCTTCAGGGCCCACGAAGCAGGGGATGCCACTCCTGATGCCAGGAGGCGGGTCTCCTGCATCAGGTAGAGCTGAATATGTTCATGCCTGTCGTGCCACATCCACTCCATGAACTCCCGCCCCGTGGACCAAGCATTGCAGTTGTAGCTGACAATCCGAATGCTGATCGGATCGACCACTGAGGTCGTGCGGACGAACTCGTCAAACACGCGACCGCCCTCCCTGCTGCTGCTTGCTCTGCTGCTTGGCCTTTGTGAAGAGCTCCTCGTCGGCAGCTTCGGGGACAGGTTGGCTGCGTGCGTGGGCCGCCTCGTCTTGGGAGGGAAGCGTGAGGTCAACCTTGACACCCACACCCCCGCCTGTTCCAAGTGCTGCTTGAGCCGCTCCTCCACCGCCAGAGCCAGCACCGGGAGTTCCTTCTGGAGGCGCCTCCTCCTCGATGCGCCTCCGTTTAGCCTCCATGCGTTTCGTGAAGGCCTTTTGCTTGTCCACCAGCGTCGCAGCCTTTTCCTTGGCTGAGCCGAAGGCGGTCTTGGCCGCCTCCCGGAAGATCTGAAGGACCTGCGCCTTGCGGGCCTCCAGCTCTTGCTTCTCGCCCTCGGAGAGTTCGACGCCTTCTTCCGTGAGGCCAAAGAAACCGCGGTCGTCCAACTCCACATCGCCACCCTCGAGGAGGAGGTTGAGGTCCAAGCATGCTGGGCGTGCTGCTGGGCCAGGCCCACTGGGAAGGACCTCCGCCTGGAGCGCCTTGACCGCCTCCTGGTACTTGCGCTCGCACTCCGTGAAGTTGGCATGCGCCTCGATGGCATCATGCTTGGCCGCGTCGAGCTGCTGTTCGAGCTTCTCCGCCGCCGCCACCGCTCGGTCGAGTTGAACCCGCGCCTGGCCCAGCGCGTGCTTGGCCGCCCCGACCGTCGGCGGTGCAGGCGGTCTGGCTGCGGCTTCGAGCTGTTCCACCAGCCGACGGTAGTGCTGCTCCTGCCGCTTGTCGCCGAGGGAGGCGAAGGTGCGCACCAACTCCCGGAGCTTGGGCAAGTCGGAGGCCCCGTACTCCAAGGCCCCTTGCTGCTGCGCCCCGCCTGTCCAGCCCGAAGCGGCGAGCTGTAGCCCAACAGGGGCGGCGGCGGGCACCTGGGATCCCGGTGGGAGCGCGTGCCAGGTCCCAGGGGCGCTGACTCCTGGCGCCTGAGGCTGTCCAAGCGGATGAGACCACACGCCACGAGGCCCAGGAGGAATGACAGGAGCTGGAGCCGTCCTCGGCGCGCCGCAGTGCTTGCAGACCGCCGACTTGACTGACGTCTTCCCGCATCCGCAGTGCACGCACTTCCAGCGCTCGAGGGTGGGCTGCTGCTGCCAGTATCCACCACCTCCGCCGCCGCCGCCGCTGAGGTTGTGGTTTTGCGCGAAATGCCACGGCGGAGGGGCGCCAGACCAGTGGGTCGCCCCATGGCCTTTGCCACCACCCTTCCCGCCGCCGCCATCGCGCCCCATGAAAGAATGAGAAAGCTTTGAGACGAGCCTTTTGACTCGCTGACACCAAGTGCCGCTCTGAATCGAGTGCCAGCAACGCTACTAGAGCGCAGAACGGCTAGGAGGAGGAGGAGGAGGAGGAGGAGGAGGAGGAGGAGGAGGAGGAGGAGGAGGAGGAGGAGGAGGAGGAGGAGGAGGAGGACGACCCCCCATCCTCCCTTCTCCCCCGCCCTACCTGTGGCAGTGGTGGTGGGACATTGGCCCATCATTTCTTGTCGCTCGAGGCTCTATCCCAGACAACAGGCCGCTGCCCACGGCCTGGTAGGCCACGCCCGTCGCGGGGGGCAGGGCCTCGAGGGACAGCAGAGCGGCACACGCAAGCTTTCCCAGAGCTCCGCGCGGATGTCCTGGGTCGGCGCTGGGCCCCCCGAGGCATCCTCCTCCTCCTCCTCCTCCTCCTCCTCCTCCTCCTCCTCCTCCGTCTGTCTGCTCCTGGCTTTCTTCCCCCTCCTCCTCCTCCTCCTCCTCCTCCTCCTCCTCCTCCTCCTCCTCGTCCTCCTCCTCAGCTTCTGCCTCCTCCGCTTCACCCTGCTCCGCCCCCCCGGGCCCTGGCGCGCTCCGCGCGCCGGCTGGGGGGGGTCCAGCGCCGATCCAGGAAGTCCGCGCGGAGAGGCAGGGGGGAGGCGGGGCGGGGGGAGGGCCGTCTTGGTGGCTCGCATGGGCCTCGTTCCTGGATGGGCTGTTTGGGATCCTTTTTTTTTGGTCGCGGCCGCGAGACAAGGGTCAGGCGGCGAAGGCAACGTCCGGGCCACGGGCGAGGCTAATTGGCTAGGACAGGCGCGCCGGCCGGCCCCCTCAGACGGCAGCTGCAGGCTGGGTGACGCTGAACTGGCTGACGCACTGCAAGCTCGGGCACGTGCACTGGAGCTGTTTGGGATCCGCGAGGCGTCCAGGATTTCGAGGGAGACCCGGACACGCCGACGATGGGCCTGCGAGGCTCAGCAACAAAGATCCATGTGCCCCAGAACGTCGAGGGGAGTGGACAATGGCGTCCGCGCTTCGGTCGGTTCGGCTGGGTCAGGAAAGTGGTGGACGCGCAGAGAGGCCCGAACAGACAGGACAGCAAGAGGGTGGCGGGATGTGGCCAGCGGTGGAGAACATGCGACGGACGAGGGGAGGGGGGAGAAGAGGAGCGTGGGAGCAAGGACTGCGAAGATGGACCAAGGCATGGAATCGCAGGCATGGACGAGCAACGCGTGGATGAGCGACGCGTCCCGCTTCCGTGCGCGCTCCGTCGCCAATGCGTGGGGCTTTCCTCGGTCCATGGACCTGGCGTCAGCGCGCCAGGTCCACAGATCCCCAATCCGTGTTTGGGTGTGCACGACGACGAGGGAGGGGAGGAGAGGGAGGGGAGCAGAGGAAGCGGGCGCCCAGGCGTTCGCCGCGCTCCGGCACGAGCAGATGCTCAGAGGCCCCGCGCGGAGCGCTGGGGCGGTGCGCAGTTTTCCACATCCAGGGCGCCACAAAATGTCACACTTACGTATGTGTGTGTGTTTGTATATATATATATATGTATTTATCTATAGACATAGGTGGGGCCCTGAGGACACTCCATTCCCTACCTCGAGGAGCGGTGGTGGGTCAGGTTTTTCCGGAGGCTGGCGTGAACTGTGTGCTGTCTGCTCTTTCTCCAACCCCTGTCTTCTTCCTCTACCCCTCCTGCTCTCGCTCACTGCTTCTCCTTGCGCCGCCCTCGCTCGTAGGGCTCACTCGGGACCGAGGCTCACTCCCGAATCTATGGCAGACCCGCACTCGGATACGTCCAGGTCAAACGGTTGCTGCTGAACTTGGTCGTGTTGCGGGTCTCCGAGGTGGTTCTTCTCTTGCTTCTTCCTCTCCTCCTTCTGTTGTTCGTTCGTCTCCTCTCCTTCCTCTCCTCTCCTCTCCTCTTCCTTTCTCCTTCCCCTCCCCTCCTTCCTCTCCTCTCCTCCTTTCCTTCTCCTTTCTCTCCTCTCCTCTTCCTTATGTTTTTTTTTGTCCTTCCTGTGCATGCGTATGTTGTTGAGGTGTTTCGAACCTCTCCCCAGCGCCTGGGCCTGTGCCCCCGTGCGCGACACAGCGGGCCTGCACCACGGGCGAGGGTCGCCCGTGCAGCGCCTGAGCTCTCGGGTCAGTCGCTCTGTCTGGCCTCGGCTTCTCGCTCGACCACAGGCCATCCACCTTTTCGTTGTCCAGGGCACGCGACTGCATAGTGTTCCTGCAGGATGTGTCCTGGCGGTGCTGCTGGCTGTGCTCTGAGAACCTGACGTTTTCAGGATGGCTCCGTAGACACGCTAACGGCGATGCAGGTGACGGCGATGTAGGTTTTGGTATTGTTGGTGGGGGTTGTTCGCGGCCAACAAAATTGAAGGACAGCGCTATTCGTGTTTTCCTACAAGTTGTTCCGCGCGAGCTCATCGACATCGCCGCTAACCAACATCGCCGTTAGCGTGGCCCCGGCGGCTCGTGCAGCTTGTCGGCTGTGAGTGGGTCCCCTTCCCACTCGCTGCAGAATTACCGTCTTCTCCGAACATGCGCAGTACGTTATTGTATCTAGATGCGTCCTATGTGTTCTTCGTATCCTTCCTCTGGCCGCCTGAGGCCCCGCCCGCCCGCGCCCTGTCTCCCCAATTAGTGCTTTGCGCGCCCCGCCTAGCTCTTAAGCAGAAGAGGCCCGCTCTCGACCCGCCGACCAAAAATGTGCTCTTCGTATGTTCGAAGGAACATTCAAGTTAGGAGTACATCAGTTCTGTAGTCGATCCGTCGCTGCTGCCTCCCACCTCAGGACTCTGCTCGTGCGGGGCTCCCCGGAGCGCACCTCGGGCCCGGGGCCTGAAGGCAGAACTTGGGGGTAGGCCGACCTGAAGAATTGCCTGCTGGGGCGATTCCCGCCCTCGTGCCTCCCTCCTCCTCATCGCCCGTCCCCAACTTTTGATTCGGATGTTTCGAAATCCATGGTCTCAGAGCGCCTTCCCGCGTAGGGTCGTACCGTTTTAGTTTTGTCCACTCGACCCCTGCAGTTCAGGGGTCGAGGTTCCGTCCAGCCTCTTTTTGGTGCCGAGTCTCGGCCCAACAAGGTTGCTCGTCACACCGCCAATAGTGCGGAGTCAGTGCAGCAGGCTGTGATTTCTTTTCCTTCGGCTCCCTCCAACGAGAGTGGGGCGAGGGGCCGCCGCTGTTTCCACGGCACTGCGGGACTGGCAGCCGTCTCGGCGTGAGTCCCCCCGCAGTTGCCGTGACGTCAGCGGTGGGGCAGGGCTGGTGGCGAAAGTGGCAGGTGGCGCCACCCAGCCCTGCCCCCACCTCTGGGGGGAGGCGCCGTCCCCCCAGAGAGTATGGCTTGGCAGTTGTGGATGTCAAAAAAAATCCTCCTCCTCCTCCTCCTCCTCCTCCTCCTCCTCCTCCTCCTCCTCCTCCTCCTCCTCCCTCCTCCCTCCTCCCTCCCTCCTCCCTCTCCCTCCTCCCTCCTCCCTCCTCCCTCCTCCTCCTCCTCCTCCTCCCCTCCTCCTCCTCCTCCTCCTCCTCCTCCTCCTCCTCCCTCCTCCCTCCTCCTCCTCCTCCTCCTCCTCCTCCTCCTCCTCCTCTTCCTCCTCCTCCTCCTCCTCCTCCTCCTCCTCCTCCTCCTCCTCCCTCCTCCCTCCTCCCTCCTCCCCCTCCTCCTCCCCTCCTCTCCTCCCCTCCTCCTCCTCTCCTCCTCCTCCTCCTCCTCTCCTCTCCTCCTCCTCCCTCCTCCCTCCTCCCTCCTCCCTCCTCCCTCCTCCCTCTCCCTCCTCCCTCCTCCCTCCTCCCTCCTCCTCCTCCCTCGTTCCCCCCCTCCTCCTCCTCCTCCTCCTCCTCCTCCTCCTCCTCCTCCTCCTCCTCGTCCTCCTCGTCCTCCCCTCCTCGTGAGCACGAGCTCGCCCCCCTTTCCTCCTCGCTCCTCTCTCGCCTCCGCTCTTCGCACTCCCAGGCTTCCGCCGTGTGTCGGCGGCGAGCGAGGGGGGGACACGAGAGGGAGAAGGCCTTCTTCAGGATGTCGCGGGGCTTCTCGGGAGCCCTCGCGCCCTCTTGCCTCCTCTCTTCTCCCTGGCTGCCCTGCTGCGTTCGTTTTGAATTGCAGCACGTGCCGTGTTCAAGACGTCTGTGTTGATGCGCTGTGTGTTGGCTCAGCGTATTGGCCCACGTTTTGGCGAACGCATCGCGCCAAGCGCACGTTTTGATTGTGCGTGTTGAGCTCCGTGTCTCACGCCACGGGTTGCGTGCTGTGTATCGGGGCGGCTTAGATCTTCTCGTTCCCAGGCTTCCGCCGTGTGAGTGTATGAAGTGGCCAGTTGCACCGCACGGAGCGTCCTTGCCCTTCCTTCTCCTCGCCCCCTCGCCTCCTCTAGTCGTCACCCCAACGTACTGATACTATGTGTGCGTTGCCCCCCCCCCAGGGGCGACGCGCGCACCGAGACATCTTATAGCATATGCGCCGTGGCGGGCGCTTTCTGGTCACACCGTTCTGGAAACGATATACTACAAGATGGGTATGCTATATGCTTGGGTCGGACGCGCGCCTCCAAGGAGGACATATAGTACGAGTATGTCTCTGTGCGTCCCATTCCTCCTCCCCGCCCCCTCGCCTCCTCCTCCGCTTGCGCTCCCGAGGTGTCGTTTCCCACAGAACTTGGGGCACCGACTTCGTCGGGTGACGTCTGGTCGGCCAGGGCCACTCGTCTGATGATTTTATGCCACCCCAGGCATACATGAGTCGACGATTCGTTATCCTCTTCTTCCATCGCCCTCTCCCTCGGTCTCGCCCTCTCCCCCCCACTTCCCCCTGTCCCCTCTGTCCCTCCCTCCCGCCGTTCTCCCTCCCGTGGCGAGCGGCTCTCTGCCACGGTGCTCAGGCGACTTCGTGCGAGCTGAGCTACTCCTCGACGACGGAGGTGGGGTCGGCGGCCACCGAGAGCTGTGGGGTGAGGGTGCCAGGTGCCAGCGCAGGCGGTGGGAGGCCGGCCGTAGGCGGCGGAAGGCAAACGTGGGCGGCGCCGCCGGCGGAACGGCCAGCGGATGCCGCTGAAAGCGCTGGAAGCAACCACTGTCTCCCCAAGGGATGTCTTTGGCGGATCGCGCGAGTAGTCAGTGTTATTCGTCCATGCGGACACCCTCCCCAGCAGGATTCCCCCTTCTCCGACGCCCTCGAGGCTCTCGCTTGCGACGAGTCGGCTTCCTCTGGTCGAGGGGGGTCAACAGAAGGAGGAGCCTGCGTGGAGGACTGAGGAAGGACGGGGGAGTAGGCGGAGGAATGCTCATCTTTGTCATCTTTGCTCGAATCCCATCCATTTGTTCTGCGTGGCCTGGTCAAGCTTCTCGCCTCCCTCTGAGTGGCTGCAGGTGGGGGCCAGCGAGGTGCCGCAGCCCCGGCAGCGAGCCCCACCAGGGTGCTGAAGCGGGAGGAGCGCGTGCCGCTGTCTTGCGCGCGGGGGCCCCTGCTCCGGTGACCGCCGGGGGCGGGGGGGGGTCTCGTGCAGCCGAGGCGCTGAGGTGCAGCGGAGACCCGTGCCGAGAGACACCCCGCTTGCCTCCAGGGTGCCCTGGGGTTTCTGTGGGTCTCGATGGTTCTGCTGTGGAGCGCGTGACGGTTCCCACACCCAGAAATCCATGGTTCCTGCTGTGGGGAGCGTGACGGTTCCCACACCAAAAGTCAGTGGACGTCCTGGGGCCTCAGGGCTGGGCTTCTCGTGGAAGGTTTCTCGTGGTCGAGTCCCTACTGTCGCAGGCCTAGAGATTGACACCAACACCAATATCGGCGGTGTTCCTCCACCGAGGGAGGAAGACCCCGATCTCGGCGATGGTGGTACTATCCTGGCCTCCAAAGTACCCGAAACATTACCACCAGCACCGAAATCCAGGACCATTTCCCCCCCTGTGGAGGCAGCCCCCTGTCTTGGCGTTGGTGCCCATTTCCAGGCCTCCAATACTGCACGGACTGCTTTGGGTTAAGTCGGGCGCGTCCCTCTACAGGAGGAATATTCAAACATAAAAATAGTCAGGGGACATTTTTGGATTATTCTTTGCCCATTTTGGAATATTTTTCGATTTTTTTTTATCCGTAAGGGCTTCGCCCCCTGCCGCCGGCCCCCTCTCTCGGAGAATGGGCCATGGAAGAGCGAAGTCATGAGGCTTTGGCTTCACCGTGAAGCAGCGTCTGAACTTCATGCGAAGACGACGGGTAATTGGCAAGACGAATGGAGATTGCGAGTCTATTGTTGTACTCGCAAATCCTCTCCCCGAATTTGAAAATGTTGGAAATCTATTGTGAGCCTGACCGCGCCGATCTGCGTGAGGGGTGCCACCGAATTTCAGAAATGTGGCAAGTCCCATGTGTTTTTGGACCCTGACCCCGCCGATCTGTGTGAGGGGTGCCACCGAATTTCAAAACATGTGGCGAATCCCCTGTGTTTTTGGACCCTGACCCTGTCGATCTGCGTGAGGGGTGCCATCGAATTTTCAGAAATGTTGCGAATCCCCTGGGTTTTCGGACCCTGACACCGCCGATCTGCGTGAGGGGTGTCATCGAATTGCAGAAATGTGGCAAATCCCATGTGTTTTTGGACCCTGACCCCGCCGACCTGTGTGAGGGGTGCCAGCGAGTTTCAAAACATGCGGCGAACCCTTTGTGTTTTTGGACCCTGACCCCGCCGATCTGCGTGAGGGGTGCCACCGACTTTCAGAAATGTTGCGAATCCCCTTGGTTTTCGGACCCTGACCCCGCCGATCTGAGTGAGTGAGGGGTGTTATCTAATTTCAGAAATGTGGCAAGTCCCATGTGCTTTTTTGGACCCTGACCCCGCCGATCTGCGTGAGGGGTGCTAGCAAATTTCTGACATGTGGCACATCCCGTGTGTTTTTGGACCCGCCGATCTGCGTGAGGGGTGCCATCGAATTTCAGAAATGTGGGGGCGGGCGGGCGGCGGCGGGCGGGCGGCGCGGGGAGGGGGGAGGGAGGGAGGGAGGGGGGGGGGGTGAGGGAGGGAGGGGGAGGGAGGGAGGGAGGGGAGGAGGACGGGAGGGAGGGGAGGGGAGGGAGGGAGGGATGAGGGAGGAGGAGGAGGAGGAGGAGAGGAGGAGAGGAGGAGGAGGAGGAGAGGGAGGAGGAAGAGGAGGAGGAGGAGGAGGAGGAGGAGGAGGAGGAGGAATACAAACAATGATAATACGAATCATACGCATAATGCAAATACTAATACTAGTACTAGTACGACTACCAACACTAATAATAATAATCATACTAATTCTGATAATATTATTAACAATAACACTACTGATACTACAATTTTATTAACACTAATACTATTAGCACTACTATTAATCGTAATAATAGCAATAATAACAACACTAGTAATACTAATACTACTACTCCTAATACTAATAAGACGATTGCTATGCATACTACTACTTATATTAACATTAATGTTACCAATAATACGAATACGAAGAAGAGGCCGAACACTGTTATTAATACTAATACTAATAATATTCAGACTACGAATACGAATACTAAGCATACTAAGAAGAAGAGGGGGACGAGGATGCTGATCATGATGATGATGATGATGGTGATGATGATGCCGATGATGATGATGATGATGATGATGATGATGATGATGATGATGACGACGATGATGATGATGATGATGATGATGATGATGATGATGATGATGATGATGATGATGATGATGATGATGATGATGATGATGATGATGGTG